CAACAAGAAGGTGCGCCCCAGAAAATTTGAGGTGGGGCAGCAGGTGTTGAAACGAATCCTGCCCCATCAGGCCGAAGCAAAAGACAAGCTCGCCCCGAATTGGCAAGGACCGTTCATTATAACCCGAGTGTTGTCCAATGGCGCTTTATGTTTAACAGATATCGACGGGAAATGCGCCGACATAGCTATCAATTCTGACGCAGTTAAGAGATATTATGTATGATTTCTTTTGATTGTAATTGATGTTTGTTTGTGGTTGGCATTTATCGGAGAATGAAGTGACGGAGGCAATTCTTTCTTCTATCCAAACACTTTATCCTTTGCTTCCCTTTTTTAGCCTTATTTATTCTTTCATATCCCTCTTTTGGAATCAGTAATTAAAATGAAATAAAAAGAAAAAGGAGAGAAATTTCTGGAAAAAAAAAGAGGGGAAAAAGAGTCATAACTTGCACCAAGTGCATAATTATTAAAATCAGATAAACAAGCCGAATATGACAGTTGAGCGACCGTGCTAGAACCACGGAACTCGGAAATGCCTAACACCTTCTCCCGGGTTAATAGAATTCCTTATCCGGATTTCTGGTTCGCGAACTGTAATACAGAGTCATTCTTTTCCTTGATTCGGGATTAAATTGGTGACTTGGGACACCCTAAATCTCCCAAGTGGCGACTCTGAAATAAATAAACAAATCCCGTTTCGATTGTCCCTTAATTGGAAAAACTCCATTCTGCGTCCTTTGCGGGGGCGCGGGTAAAAAGGAGGTGTGACACATGCATGTAATTTTAGTTAAATCATCTAGATGATAGCGCTTACTTTTTGCATTCAATTTAAATTATCTAAGCATTACGAACCACTATTGCCTTGTGTGGGATTCTAAAATTTACACTCCCAACATGTACATACATTTTCTCCTTTTCTATTTAAAAGAGAATGTATCAGCCATCCAAGAACCATGTGAGCACCTCACATTCATCCCCGGCCTTGTGTTCATTTTTCTCTCTATTTCTCCTTTTCTAACCTATTGCTTTCTTCATTATCAACAAAATTCATATGTATATTTTTGTTTATGTTTGTTGAATTATTATGTTAAGATTGTATTTCAATAAGTGTGTTTCTTTTATGTTGTCGAACATGTATAAGGACATTTTCAACATTTTTGAGCCAACATACACATGAGGACACGAAGGATTAATATGGCACGAGTGGAATGAACAAAAATCGTATCCAAGATGTACGTTCAAAAATTAGAGAGCACATGATATGGATCACCTCCACTGCTTATGTTTTGAGGACTTCTGTTGGGTATGGTTTCATCCTTCATCGTGTTCACCAAATAAGATTAACATTCATAAATTCCGGGATTTGGCTTTTCCCCTTAATTTTTTACTTTGTAACTAAAATATTTTAGCAATATTTATGTCGTTTTCAAAAACAAATCATTATTTGTTGAGGGGTACACGCGCAACGTGCGTGTCCAGAAACTAGTTAATACCAATAAACAGGAGCACTGTCATTTTTCAATGTTTCTTTTTGCTGACAAGTACAGTGATACCAGTTTCGTCAAATAAAGTATCCTAACAGAATAAATTAAGTAGTATCAACTTCCGGAAATGAGATGTCTTAAGGAAAGACGTTATTCTTGTTAAGAAAATAGACTTAATCCTTAGGCCTAAGTCAACCCTAAAGATCACTCATTAGATGAGGATTACCCAAGACCATATAAGGAGACATCAGCCAGTACCTTCAATCAATGTAAGATTCTAACACCCCCTCCCTCTCGTATGCACATGCCTAGACATTTGGAGAGTGGAAAACATAAGATGGAGCCCAAAATGGAGTAGACCAAAAAATAGGGATAAAGAAAGTAGACGTTAGGCCAAAGTCAACCCAAAAAGCTAGCTCATGAGGTGAGAATTGCCGAAGATCAAATAAGGAGACAGCAATCCATACCATCAACCAATATGGGAATCTAATAAATCTCTTCCATCGGTTTGAATCTCTGAGAAAAGATTTACTGAACAAAGCCAATAAAAGAGGCAAAGAAAACAGTTATGCTATAAAAAAGGAAAACAAAATGAGGTAAAGAAAATTTTGTTTAGAGCAGACAGTAAGAATTTAAAAATTAAGACTGCACACAAGCTCAACACATCCATTGACCTCAGATTCCATTGACCATTCATTAATGGGTTGGCCCTTCGATATGCTCTTCACTAGTATTAGCTAAGGGAACTTGAGCACATACACACGTTTTTTTATAGCCGAAAAATCTCCTAGTTCCTGGAGCACGGTTCAAAACTCGGTGGATAATTGACTTGTTTCTCCAATTAAATATCAGGCCCTATGGTAGGGTTCGAAACCACGACGTGCGCCTAACCCACACATCACGTGTTGCACTCGTACCACTAGACCAATGTCGTTCAGCCATCACTACATCAGATTAAGAACCCTATGTCCTAAAGTCTAAACTGTGTGCAGTGATTTCATCATTGCCTTGTTGGCTGTGTAAAATCACAAAATCCTTTCTTTNAAGACAGGTTAGCATAGCATACTATTCGGTGAATTTATGGAAGAACATCCCAACTAGCACTTGGTTGATTTTATTCATAGAGAAAGAGAATCTTAGTGTTAGGTAAAACTGCATAATTTTACTAGCTTTTGGTGTAGGTTGGAGTATATAAATGATATAGACACACTCCTAGGTTCTATCAATTCCTTACAAGTTTAAAGAAGGAAAACTTCGATAAAGGCACATTTCTCAGCACCACCTTGCTGTTGAGAAAAAGAATGAAATTCTGAATCTGTTCCCGTCTTAAGTAACTCGACACAAGGACATGCAGGATATCTTAGTTATCAAAAAAATGCAGGATACCTTAGTTCCTTCAAGTGATGTTGGATGGATGACAGTTAATCAGTTAAAAGTGTTTATTCATAGCGAACGCTAGATAATCAAATATGAATAAAGAAAAAATTTCAATCAATTACCTCCTTTCTATATCGATTGCCCATGAAGAAGAGCAAGGAATTCCGATTTTCAACGCCAATATCCCCCGTATATGTATTGATCCGATGTGAGTACGGCAAGATGACATCCTTAACAAGTGATGCTTGATTACGAGCCAATCTTCCAAAATCAGAAACTAACAGTACCCCATTCTTCACCCTATCCACAACCTTGTATAAAGCATTAGGATCCTGGCATATAAATACATGATCCCAGCCGTTGTTTTTTTTCCAATACTCCTGCTGCTCCAACCATTCAATTAAAGATTCCTGAAACATAAGCACTATGCAATCATATGCCATTTTTACGCAGGAATTAAATTCAGAACCAGATAAACAGTAACAAATGCATTTCTGGATTTAAGAAGCACGAGGAGACCAGAATTCTCTCTTTTTTTTGTTTTTTTTTTGTTTTTACTGATTACAATGTAGTCCAACCCAACTTGTGCACTCCCCGGCTAATACATTGAGTACCAGCCAACATAGGTGAATAATTATACCCACCAAGTTTAGCCAGATAGAAAGAATTCATGTGGTCTTCTCCATCCTTGGTTTGCAAGGTTGTCACACCAGCTCTTAAGCGGGCCACCACCTTGAGGGTTGAAAACCATAATTCTCAACAAGACATTTGCAACAAACAGATCAGGGTGCATTAATCTATGTTACCCAAAATGGACATGTTAGAAGCTCAACCAGGATAGATCATTTAAAACACATTGTACTGATTATAGCTAAAGTAGCTAAATTAACGAGTATGGACTAAAAATACAATTAATGACAAAAAAAGATGAAAATTTTAACTGGAAAACACAAAACAAGGCCATTCCAGAAGCCCGAATTATGAAACAAACAAATAGGCATAGAAGGGACCAAGTAAGCTGCATTGAACTCAAAAGAAATGCTAGCATGCTGACCCTGATTGCTAGAATTGACAACATTTTGATAATTTTCACATCTGACAAACTACAAGTTAAAGATATACAAGATCAAAACTTTTAACTTGATGACACCACAATGCAAGAAAATCTAAAAAAATTACAAAAGAGTTCAACAAATGTAATCACATTAACCCCAATTGAAAACAAAAGCTTCCACAGCAAATAGCAGTGAATTCCCACCTGCATTTCCTCATCACTATATACAGGCCTATCCCCGGGTGCAACAACTGTACCGGGTCGAATCGGATTCGCCACGAGACTCAACGATGAGAAGAAAGGCACGTAAAAAAGGTCAGCTTTCTCAGGGTCCATAACCCGAGTCACGGCCGAGTCACCCCGTTCTCGACTCGGCCGGTTCAGGTCGGAAAACAAGTACCACTCAGCAGAATGCTGATTCCCTGGATACTTAAGCAAAGAATCATCACGCTGTTTCTCACCTCCCCTTGCTAATGCATAGCTCTCAATAACCCCATATGTAAACTTCCGAGGCAGATCATACATATATACTTTCACCGGTGGGAAATTGTGGGTATTTTTTTCTCTGAAACCAAATAAAGAGTTTCTTGTAGTGGAATTGTTTGGTGGGTTAGGGAATATGAAGGTGTTGAAGAAAACATATAAAGCTAAGATAGAGAACAAAGTGGTGGCAAGTGTAAGAGTAGTGGGTTTGAGATTTAATTTTCTAGGGGGCATTTTGTTGTTGAGATTTGGGGTTAGGGATTTGGGAGAGGGCGGAGAAGATGGAGAGGGTAGTGGCGGTGATCTGAGTTTGGGTCTTGGATTCATTGATTACTCGCAAGAAGCTTAGAGGCAGGCCATGGGAAATCTGTAATATTCCATTCTGAATGGAAAATTATAAGACAAAACTTTCTTTTGTTTTTTTGTTTTTTTTGGTCGGGTTTACCAATATTTTGTTCATTATTTTAATTGATATTGAAAAACTTGTTTAATAGTATTTCAAGTGAACTAATAATTTAATTCACAAAACTTTTAACTTTTTTTCCAACTTCTAGCTTCTTCTTCAACTTATTTTGCCCAAATGGAAAAGAGAGGGGAAGGAAGGGGAAAGTGAATGGTAAAGATGAAAGAAAAGTGATGAAAGGATCAAAAGGAAATTATATTTTCTGAATTACTTTTATAACACTTTGATCATTTTTTCCTTATATTTTTTAGTTTTTGTATAATTATCTAATATGTATTTCAAACAAAGATTTCTCTATTTTTAGAATTCAAAATCGAGACTTCTGATTAAAGATTGAATATATTATTGGTCATGCATTTTCCATACTTCAAGTGTTGTTGAAGGAAGGCAATATGATGCATATCATACTGAAAGTAAGATTAATCTATAAGCTAAATATGGTAATCACTAGGGTAGTAATTACACAGCCTAGTAATTACGACGACCTGTTTGTTTGTTATAACGTAATTACAATATAATTACAATATAATTACAAGTGTATTATTTGGTTGCACAAGTGTAATTACACGTTTAAATTAAATTAAAATGAAGTAATTATCAAAATTTAAAAGTTAATATAATAAATATATGCCCATAAATAATTTTTTATAAGTATAAATGATATTTTATTTGGTATTTCAAACGCATCTTACTGCCCCCATGGAGGACAAGATGCGGGAAGTAAGACTCAGATGGTTCGGGCACATTCAGAGGAGGAGCACTGATGCACCGGTGAGGAGGTGTGAGCGACTGGCTGTGGTTGGCATGCGGAGAGGTAGAGGACGACCTAAGAAGTATTGGGGAGAGGTGATCAGACATGACATGGCGCGACTTAGGATTACTGAGGACATGGCCCTTGACATGGGATTATGGAGGTCGAGCATTAAGGTTGTAGGTTAGGGGAAAGTTGTGAATATTTTTACAGCACAATAGAGTGAGACTAGCCAGTTAGGAGTGTCACACCTCCTTTTTCCGGCACCGCGAGGGTACAAGGGAGTTTTTTCCAGTTAAAGGACAATCGAAACGGGATTTGTTTATTTATTTCAGAGTCGCCACTTGGGAGATTTAGGGTGTCCCAAGTCACCAATTTAATCCCGAATCGAGGAAAAGAATGACTCTGTATTACAGTCCGCGAACCAGAAATCGGATAAGGAATTCTGTTAACCCAGGAGAAGGTGTTAGGCATTCCCGAGTTCCGTGGTTCTAGCACGGTCGCTCAACTGTCATATTTGGCTTAAATATCTGATTTTTATACAATTATGAGTTCATGTGCAAATTTAGCATTAAACCACTTTTATCATTATTCTTATTATTATTTTATACAAGAATTGCAACGTCGTGAAAAAAAAAGCATCTCGGACCACGTCACAACCAGTGTACACGTGATTTGTTGACGCATTTTTGACTTCGTCAAGATCAGGATTTGGGTTACATAAATGCACACCCGTATTTAAGAAAATAACTATATTAAATATGCGCCAAAATACTACGCGTTATTAAACTATTAGGTAGGACTGTGAAATTTACTAAATGGCCCATCCCGGAATCTAAATATTTTTTTAAAAAAATAAATAAATAAGATTGGAGTACCCTGCAAATTTTTGTATTATTTTTATTTATTTATTTTTAGCGAAATCCTCCCTTATTTTATGAATATCTTTTAATGACTACTTTTTATTATTACTAATATAAAATCAATCTCTACATACTTAAAAATAACATATTAAATACTAGTTTAAAACAAATATTAACGGAAAGTAATATTACTAAAATTATAATTATAAATACAGCATGGAATTGTCAAATAATTTTTTTTTTNCTTTTCTTTTTCTTTCTTGAAAGTTTTAATATTTTTCGGATTTTTTCTTTCTCTCTTAAATATTCAGCTTTTTTTTCTCTCTCTTTCTCTATCTGTTTCTCTCCTAAAATCTGATCAAGCCTCCTATATATATCACATCCCAAACCCTTTAATTAATTAATAAAACAACCATTTTCTCCTACCAAACCCATTATCTTCCCACTCATCCCCATTTTAATCCCACTAAATTAAACAAATATATCAACCTCACCCCATTACATCTTGTCCCACATGCTTATCATAAACAATTACCATATTCCCCTCAACTACATTATGTCTTGTCCCCCATTATATAAACAATTATATCACATACACCTCATTACCTTTTGTCCCCCATGCTTAACATAAAGAATTATTCAAAATGTTCAATTCCCAAACTACCCCTCCGACCTTATTGCAATAACCATTTTACCCCTGAACGTACTGCAAATTACCAAACTACCCCATCAACTATAACCAATTCACCTAATCAATCTTAACCAAAATATAGCCAATATGATCAATTTCTAATAATGTTCAACAACAAATTCAAACTAAATGATGAACAACAAAGAAACAACTAAAATTATCTTGATTGAACAACATCTTTAACAACAAACAAACCTACTTTCAGATTCAACAACAACAACAACAAACAAATATATTCAGATTTCTAAATTCAATAATCATTTGAACTTAAAATCTAACAACTTTACAACCAACAATTCCTATATTAAAACTAAACAAAATCATGAAGCAAACTGAAGAAATAATCAAAAATGATAATCAACAAACAAGAAGATCAAACTATACTAATTTCGGATTCAAGATCAATCAAACAAAGTATGAGCATAAATGAAAAGATTCAACAACAATAACAAACAAGCTTTATTCAACTTCGAATTAAACTTAAACAAAACAAATAAACATATTCAAATCACTAATCTTCAAATAATCAATTAATCTTTTTAAATTAAATCCAACAAAATTATAACAAAGATACATGATCCAAAAATTAAAAACCAAAACATAACTTCACATTAAATCACTGAATTAAAAACGAACTTCAAAAAAAAAATAAATACGAATTAAATCTATATTAACAACAAACAACGGATTCAAATGATTTAAGCTAACACTTTTCTATATTAAAACTAAATCCTCTTAAAATTAATAAAACAAACTGAAAAATAATTTAATAATTAATTGAACTTCAACTTAAATCTAATAACAATATAATTAAACTAACAATTTTTAAAGCAAACTTATACTAATTCCAAATCTGAAAATATCAAACAAATTACGGACGAAAATAAACTTAGAACAACTAACCGTAAATGACCACCGACGAACTCGAATGAACTTTAAACGAAACCAACGAAACTTTGACATAAACGAACTTGAAGATGACGAAGCGACAAGCTGCGATGGCAGCCATGGCGGAAAAAAAACGAAGATGAAGGAGCAGCAACACAAAACAGTAGCAGCAATACGAAGGAGAAGATGCAACGGGCAGCAGCACGAAGCTGCCATGAGCAGCAGTACGAAGGCAGCGGCGGCAGGCAGTAGTGCAGCAGACGGGCAGCAGCAACGGCACGGAGGAGCTGGGAGGCGAGGTGAGGCAGCCATGGCAGTCCGCGCGACGAAGAAGACGCAGCTGGTCGTTGACGAGGAAGATGAAGCAGAAAACGTAGCAGCAGCTGCGTGAGCAGCAGCAGCGGCTGGACGCGAGGAGGAGGAAGGAGGAGTCGTTCATGTTGGTGAAGCCGC